AGCCAGGGAAGCCCACCATATTTTTTACACGATACCACTAGTAGTGTGGTTACAAAAAGAAGTGGGTCTGGTTACAAAAAAAGCCCACAGTGCGCTGATGCATGCTTGTAACCAGGAGCATGCACCTCAACAGGCACAAACTAAAAACTGTCTTCAATAAATACGTAGTATCAGTAGAAATACACAGTATCTTGTACGAGGAGTATGTACTAAAAAAATGTGAGCAGTTCTCGTTTGAAAAAACTGATCGTGATTGCTATTCCAGTACAAAGTTGTGTAGAAAACACCGTAGAAATATTGATTTGCAGGGGGGAAAAACAAGCAAAAAACAAGCAAAACACCAGCAGCAGAACACCGTATCGTATCAGTRTCCTCAGTATCAGCGGCTCCTTCGTATTTTATCAGTGTCCTCCTCTGTATCGTATCAGCGCGACTCATATTGTATTAGTGGTTCCTCCGTTTCATATCAGTGTCCTCCATATCTTATGAGCGTCCTCCGTATCATATCAGTGTCCTCCCTATCAGTGAGCATCCTCTGTATCAGCGGCTCCTCGTCCGCTTCATCAAGCGTCCTCTGTATCATCGAGCCTCTGTAAAGCAGTGACTAAGCASGCATGGTTACATGTAATTTTGATGCTACTCAATCGATTATGTAAATAACTGTGGCATCGCATCGGTCCCATGCCRYAAGTATTATCTTCAGCAACACCAACAAAAACAAGCTCTCRAGCTTGTTGGTGGTGGTGTTGCTGAAGATAGTACTTACAGTAACCTCACTTTGGTCTTGAGCTAAAGCTCTYGGCCTCAGTGATGTTACTGGTGTACCAAGAATGTAACCAGAAATGTACCTTGTTGAGGTCCGTGTTATTTGTGTGGGAAAAGTTTTGTACTGGTGTGCATTGCTCTCTCATGTGCATTACAAAACTTTTCCCACACAAATAACATGGACCTCAACAACAAGGTACATTTCTGGTTACATTCTTGGTACACGCGCAGACCGTGCGACGCCACAGTTATATCACATACTGGTAGTAGTATGCATCATCAGCATCTATTGGCACTACAGTACTTGTACGTAGTGCTTACAGGTACACAAGAGTCAATTTCCTTGAAAGCAAGATGAACTTAGTTGCCCGTGTAACAAAACCAGGTTGACACCAACAAATTTTCCAAAGATTGCATCAGCAATGTTCATTGGGGACTGAGTTAAGTGCACTACTCCCCCCTTGTGGGAATTGAGTCAAGTGCACTAGTAGTAGTAGTAGTAGTAGTAGTAGTAGTAGTAGTAGTAGTAGTAGTAGTAGTAGTAGTAGTAGTAGTAGTAGTAGTAGTAGTAGTAGTAGTAGAAATAGTAGTAGTAGTAGTAGTAGTAGTAGTAGTAGAAATAGTAGTAGTAGTAGTAGTAGTAGTAGTAGTAGAAATAGTAGTAGTAGTAGTAGTAGTAGTAGTATGTGACGTAGTAGTACTCCTGCTATTACTAGTACTACTACTACTTAGCATCCTCCCTTCTTGTCACCACTTCTCGGTTGAGTTTGATGGGTGATTCTTTATTGTTCATATGTTTAGGACAGGAAATGATCAAAATGTAGCCTTTGCTGGCGTGTTTTGAGAACAAGTGGTGAAAGTCATTACTTTTTACTATCACCTTCATCAGGGACCTTGTCTAGTATCCATTCAGACTCAAAAAGTGTCTGTCAATGTGGTTGATAATTTTACAAGACACCTACTACTACTTGTACCCATTTTTTGTTAGTGCACAGACTTCAATATACACATGGTGGATCCTCCATTTGATTTGGAATTTCCAACATACATGTTGTCATTAATAATGACAGATCTTTCAACATATTACAACTGGACCATATATCCTTTTGGAGGATTTGGTACCAACTGCTATCAATATCAGCATCTAGTAATGAGGAGGCAGTTACTAGTGAGCAGTATTTCTGAAAATTTGGCATGTATCTCTATTTTCTTCTTCAACCAATCTGCTGTATGATGTTTGAGGCATTGATTACAATGGTGTGACCTGGTAATCTCCAATAGCTATTGAAAATATTCAATGGAGTTCATCAATTATAAAACATTTGGATTTCCTGCTCAAACCATTTAGTATGATGATGATTCTAGTAAGGTCAAAAATAATGGTACCAATAACAACAACATCTATGAACTGATGTGTGCTGTGGTGAAAAATTATAGTAGTAGGTTGAGTTAAGAAGAAGTAAGAATGTAGATGTATTCATTGTTTCTTTGTTGTTGTTACAGGGAGGATTGTTGTCTATCTTTTCTTGGTAGTCCTCTGCATACTTGCTGGTGGGAACATGATCACTCATTTCATTCTCCTCCAGTGGCGGATCACAATAAAAATGCTAGTAGTAATAAAACAAAAACAGCTGAAGGACCTCTAGATAATCACAATATATTATTGAAAAATGAATGCCAACAAAACTTGAATTTCTTTGGCATTGTTGTTAAAAAAAAGAGAACAGATTCCTTTAAACAAAGAAGTAGCTAAGATGTGCTTAGTTCTTTCTTGGGTTGTAAGGTGGTCAGGGGTAGCACTATCTGTAATTTCTTTGGTTGTTGCAAAGAAAGACAAATATCATGTTCTCTTTAGGTGTATTCATGGATGAACATTTAATCACTAYTAGCCAAATCATCTCTTCTGATGTACTAGTAATGTTTGCAGAGTGGTAGTAGCAGTGGTTCTGGTCTGTCTGTAAGGAAACCTTCATCAGTCTTGCTCTTCTCTTTGCATAACAGAGCAGAGAAGAGAAAGCCAAATATTGACAACAATTCAATGAATTGTATTTATATTCTAGAGATTAAAAAAACAGTCAGAGTGGTTTGATTAATTTGATTCTTACTTCTCTAAATTTTATTTTTGTCAAGAATAGTTTCTCCCTTTTGCATAAACTTTGTGTTTGTAGCAGCATACTTGATAAAATACCAGCAGCTACTAGTGACAGTATGTGCATTAGGAGCCCATGTTTTACTACTATTTATAATAGTATGTAACTTTCAATTTCTTTGTCTAGTCATGAGGTTTTTCCCACTTGTTCTGACTTCATAGTAGTTTGATGGCTGATGGCTGCTCTGAACATGTCTTGGGAATAAGAAGATTCTCTCAAATCATAGTAGAACAACCAATTTGATCTTGGAATGACCACCAGTTGAAATTGCTGCTGAATTTTCAAGTCTAGGAAGGAGAAATTGAGTTCTCTTTATTTTTACTATGTCATATAGAATGACCAATCATGACAAGAATGACTGAAATCAACAGTAATAGTSCTTCTCTCTTCTTTGTCATTCTTTTGATATCTTCTTGTTGTTGAAATCTTTGTTGCCTTTTCATTWTTTTTGTGCTCCACACATTGTAACTAGTAGTAGTAACAACAAGAAGAAGTCTCTAGATATTGTTGGCATTGCAAGCTGTTGTGCTCCTGAACAGAAATCATAGAACAAGAATAGGAGCTAGTACAGAAGCAACAATGTTGTTATGGCTGAGACAACCCAACAAGTGCCAGAAGAAGATGTGGTTGTGCCTCCATTAAAATCATTTTAGGCACTAGTAGGTGCTGCCCCTTAGAGTAACTACTAGGAGCATGATTATTCTCCTTGCAAGTTATGGCCCTGGTCATCTTAGTGAGTCTTATAGTTCATGAGGTTAAATATGATATCAAGTTTTTTGTAGGTTGCTGAGGACAAAGTGCACTCAACACTGTTTCATTCACAAACTCAAACACAGGATCAGCAAAGCAGGCATCTCATAATTCATTTCCACAACTCAGAATATTGGATCATATAAAGAAATTGATTCAATGTATTTTATCAYTCAGATATTTAAAGTTTGATCATTCTGCATTTTGATCCAGCACAATATTTGAGGATTCTGAAACCTGATACAACACAGCAATTTGTCATTCTTGGTTTGGAATGAGGAGTAACTGAGAGGAAACTTGCAAAAATAAAACTGCTGCAAACAGCAACATTCACAAGAAGCACTAGTACTAGTAGAAATTAAAAAATGGTGGATATCTCCATATCAGTACTTGATAGAAATAGATATCTCCTCAAATACTGCTACAGGCCTGATTTTCAGATCTTTTTTRAGGAGGTGCAAAATTGTAGTAATTTTTTTCTGATACTACCTACTAGTAGTAGGTTGCCTTAAAATAGGTACTTTTTTCACACCAGTAAGTATCTGTCTGTCATATCTAATTTTGACCCAATGTTGGTAGTACTAGTAGTTTGTCTGCTGTTGCAATTTCTTTTAAGAGTAGTTTTCAATACTACAGCACCCATACTAGACACATAGCAGAACTACTAAGCAAGAATTTCTGATATTCTTGCTGGCCTACTACTAGTTCTTCTGGAAATTCAGTGAGCTTCACAGCAGGAGATATACTAGCTTGACTTTTGTTATCTGTGGCATCTATTGTCCCTGAAAATTTTTGATAATTTCAGCTTTACTAGTAGTACTTGGTGATGATGATGGGGTTGTAATTGTAGACAAGTAGTTGGACTTGTGGTGGTGATAGCAATCTTGTTATTTTTGCCAAACATAGAGCAGATTATGGTACCATCACACATGATACTACATTCTATGTACATGCATAATCTGCTGGTACTGATGTGAGGTGACAATTATACCAATAGGAGATACAATATTAGTAGTAGACAAGTGAGTCTACCTCCTCTAGTGTAGCAATACATACTAGTAGCAAAAGACTCAGTGGAATACCAGGACAACCTTTCTGTTGGAACAGCATTGTATAACTAATACTATGTAGTCAGCAGTACTAGTACTAAGGATGTACTAGTAGTAGGTCTGCTATGATGTTTTTTCTGTCTTATCTCCTCTGCACCGCTGATGGTAGTGGTGGTGATTATATGCTGTTGACATCCAGTGGGGATTATTACCACTATTGCCATGATATTACTGACAACAAACCGCAACAGCAAGAACAACAGCAAGAACAACAGCAAGAACAACAGCAAGAACAAGAAAAAAATAGGAGGAGGCCCTGGTGGTGCTTGTGGTGGGTTTGCAGAAGAAGGGTTATTTTTGTTATAAAAATCTTCTTTGCATTTGACTCACTTAAATAGAATGACACAATAAATAACTATTTGATTTTTTGATTACTATGATGCAAAAGAAAAAGAAGCATTCAAACTGCCCAAATCCCAAAAAGTGGAGSCTCAATTCACCACTGAGCAAAGATGCAGCTCAGACACATGTTTCTATAACAGATGAAGTAGCTATAGTCAATTTGGTCAAAGCAGTCATAAATCCATTGGCGCAAAGTACAGTATGTCACTTGTATGTACTTGTATATGCTCATACTAATTGGTCATTGCTGGAATAATAGACTTAGGTATAGGCCTCTGGGATTATGGGAATCATATGTAGGAGGCCCTATACAATAGCATGCCTTCCGTGCAATAGGTCATATTTTGAATACAGAATCTTCCTTTCTCATTTGATAATTTTATTCTTTTGCCACCAAAAAGAACACTCCTAAAATACCATATTCCACAAGAATCATGACAGGACCTTCCACTTGCAACAACAAGTAAAGCTTCACCTTGCAAAAATCTTTCAAATAGTTGATTGAAGCCATTCCAAAACTCTCTTTCTGCTAATTGATGGGTCTTGGCAGCTGAGAGGTAGTACTTCTTCAGAATGTCAATGCTCCTTGAAACAATCATTTTCTCCTGGTGGTGGGCAATTCTTGTGCATGGATGATGATGAGGAAGACAAAGAACAGAGAAGAGARGATTCTTGTAGGAGGGRCAGGAGAACATCAAGAAAAATTTCACTCCAAAGATATGCTGAATCTCCCTCTTTATTGTTTGTCTTTTATTCTGGTAACGAACAGGGGCTTCTACTAGTAAATTGTTGTGGTGTTGACCACAGGGTCTTYGGAGATCTCCTTTATATGCTCTGTCAGAGAAAAGAATACCAATATGAAGCATGAGGCAAATGCAACTTATAGTCTTGGATTAGTGCTGTTTTGGATTTAGGTGTGTACTATGAGAAAATGAAGTTGCTCTACAACCAGTTTGGAGAAAAGGTTGTCATTGTTGATTCAGCTTTCAAGAAGCTTGCAGGAAAAGAGCTTCTCATTTGGAGCAAGCAGCACAATGTGGTAACCAACCTTGCTCCAGAGATACCCTTGAATGGTCAAGYAACATCCCTCTGACAGTGGTTGTTGGAGTTGGGAATGAGTATGATTCTTCAAGTACTAGCCTTCTTTCCAGCAAGATTGAAAGACAAGATGCTCATGGAAGACTAGTAGGGAGATCAGAAGATCATTATGAATCTTGTTCTTCTTTTGTACAACTTCCAGGCAAATACCATTAGTAGGATGAATCAGATCTTGAATGATTTCATGGAGAGGGACAACAACATTAACACTGATTCTTTGGT